ACAGAAGCTTCATATCAAACGCACACAAAGCCACGTCTGTAACTTGATGATAAACTGAGGTAAATGTGACGTCATATCTCAGATGATTTTGAACTCAAAGTTAAAATCATCTGAGATGATTTTAACTTTGAGTTAAAATCATCTCATTATCCTTTGGTTAATGTGACAAAGGATCACATTAACCTCATGTGATCCTTTGTTTCTTTACGTGTCTTTGTACGTCGCAGGGAGACGTTGGTGTTTTTCCTCCATCATGTATCCTTTGGTCCTCCTGCTGCTGCTGGGAGCGAGGAGCTCAGGTAAACGCGACGATCAGCACACCTGGGCTTCTTTTGGGTCACCTGCAGTTTGGGGTCATAGATGCTACATGTGAAATATTACAGACTGTATGAAGAGTATCACTCCTCCCACCTGCTCCCTGCAAAAGAGCTTTAGGATCCAAATTATAATAAGAATTCAAAACTCAAACCGAACATTCATTACTGACATTTAATCTTGACATTATTGTCATTAACCCATCTTTACTAACAAACTGCAGCTTGTTGGAACCCATCATTTTATTCTCCAGTATAATCTGCATGCTTACAGTTTGATCTGAAACACTGATAATCCAACTGTGAACCTGCAGTTCCCCTTCTGTCCACCAGAGGCTTCAGCGTAGATGCCACTGTTAACATGAGCATCAGACATAAACACGTTTACAGCCCGATGTGAAACATAAGCTCCTTTTCCATTAGTACAGGGGTGGGCAACTCCAGGCCCCGAGGGCCGGGGTCCTGCAGGTTTTAGATCTCACCTTGGGTCAACACACCTGAAACACATGATTAGTTCACTACCAGCCTCTGGAGAACTGAAGACATGTTGAGGAGCTAATTTAGCCATTTAAATCAGCTGTGTTGGTTCATGGACACATCTAAAACCTGCAGGGACACCGGCCCTCGGGGCCTGGAGTTGCCCACCCCTGCATTAGTACCTCCTCGGATCCACTCGCCCCGGTTTCCAGGGTTTCCCATTAGGTCATAGTACCCGGTACTATTTCAGCACCTGCTCAGCCGGGGCTCCAAGCCATCCAAACACGTACTAAAATGTGACGTCGTCAGCCTCCACGCCACCGATTGGCTGGTCGGTAGCATCTCGTTCACCAAAATCAAAACCGCCATTTATGAAACTCGGGAACGAAGGAAATGGCTAACAAACAACGAGTGTGAGGAAAGCCACAGACCGAGCGGCGGGCTTACGTTCGCTTCGACCTCCACCTTTGCTGTAGTGTTTGTGTCACATAATAATGACGTCGCAGACATGTTTCTATGACGACAAGCATGTACACACGGTCGTGGTGGGTTGCAAAGGAAAAGCAGTCGACCCGGGCAGATAAAGGGGAAAAGGGCTGCAGATGCTGCGTCTTCATAACAACAGAGGGGGGCGGGGGGGCTTTTCTATTCCTGCTCAGCTGATCGAGTGTACCTGAGTTTCTGTGCTCGGCTTAAACGTGTCGCTCGAGCTTCAACACGGCTTAAAAGCAGGGTGTCAGTGTAACGTCATCCCTGTTAGCCTTCAGCTTTTCTGCTCTTTGGTCTTTATGAAAATAAACAGAAGCTCCACCCACCTGCTCTCAAACCAGCCAATGAAGTGAAGGGCTCTGTTTCAGGGGCATGGACACTTCCTCTGAGGCGGCGATGGGTGTGTTCAGTCTAGAGATGGCACGATACCACTTTTTTATGTCCGATACCGATATCATAAATTTGGATATCTGCCGATACCGA